CCTTAACATATATTCTGAACAAACTATGATTTTGTATGATTTACTCAATTTTACGGAAATTTATTTTAAAAACATCTAAAATAAATAGATTTATATTTAATCCTAAAAATTACCTTTGAAAAAATAAATAACTTTTTTGAAAAAAAAATCTTTTTTTTTTTTTTTAACATGTTTATTTTACAACTACAAAGTATTTACAATTGACCAATCACCGATTGGCGAATAAAGATATACAAATATAAATATCGTAAACATAAAGTCCAAAATAAATAAGGGATAAATCTAAAATATTGTTACATTCAACTTTGAGACAGGATAAAAGTAATTACAAAGTACACAATAGAATAACGTGAACGTAAAAATTACCCAAGAAATAAGCCTTCTATATTCTTTCAATTAAAATAATATATATATATATATATATATATATATATATATATATATATATATATATATATATATATATATATATATATATATATATCGCGAGGTTAGAATTATTTTGTTCTATCTCCACTTTTTGAAAAAAATGAGTTATTAATTGTGTCATGTACCTAAAAATATTGTTTTTCTACTATATTAAAACTTAAGTTAAAATCAAAAAAGTTTCGGAGAAAACATAAGTAATAGAAATCTTTTTATATGCCGTCTCCTAAAGTTTTTATTTTTTAAATCGTTTTATCTCGAAACAAAAAAATGTGGAGATATAACAAAATAATTCTAACCTCGCGATATATATATATATATATATATATATATATATATATATATATATATATATATATATATATATGTATGATAAAAACAAGATTTGTATAAGATTGAAGAAAATAATTAATTGTTTGTAGTTATAGGAAGCTCGCAAAAGACTGGGGTCAGTCTTTTCATCAAGTACCTTCTAGACGTGTAATACACATAAAAATCAGTTGCATACGTGGTAAATATGTATGTGGTACATATATGCCTTAAAATTATTAATGTTACTATCTCCTTTTAGTATTATTTTTATTGTTTCCTTTGAAAAGTTACATTTTTTGTTTTATTAGGGTTGTTTTATATTATTTTTATTTTTAAACTTTAAATTTTAAAAAAAGTTATAAACCCCAACTCTAAAGGAAAACAAATATTAGTGAAAGAAAATAAGGGTACGTCAAGATTCCGGGATAACTGATAGCCGACAAACATCTTGTGACGTCAAACTAATGTTTGAAATAAAATTACAAGTTTATTCTAAAGCACTATTTTTAATAAGATTTTATTTTTCTAATCATCCTTGTGTGGATGCACATTAACGTACACAATTGTATGTGTGCACAATTTCTATCTTTACGTAAGTATTTGTTGCATTTTTCTAATCATCCTTGTTGCGGGTTGGACACCAATGCAACAAATACTTACGTAAGTAAATTTATGAACTTCATAAATAACTTTTTTTACATTTAAAAAGAAAATTACATATTGATTTAAATTACATTTACATAATTATAACCAAAATTACTTTTCAAAGTAAGTTACTTTGTACGACTTACCATTAAAAGTAAGTAACATTTACGAGTAAAAGTAAAAATGCAAATAACTTTTATTTGTAAAAGTAAATTACTTTTTTAAGTAACAGTTACTCATTTAAACAACATAACTTAAGTAATTTAATTATGTTAAATAATTTATGCAAAAAAAAAAAACGAATTACTTTTAAATGTATGTTACATCAAAATACATAAAAGTACCATCCCTAATGAAATGTACTTAACTGAAATTTGAATTTCTGTTAAAGAGTTTTAATATAAATATATTTTCCAACTTGCAGATTCTGAAAGACTTTAAGAGATAAATTTATAAACGAGTTGGTGGAGCTCCTATTCCGCCGCTAAACAATCTAAAATAAATGTACAAAAGTAATTTTTCGTTACATAGTGCTCAATACAAAAGTAGAGCAAATATATATAATATTAGAATGATAAATACAGTTTAGTTTGTAAGATAAATCAGAGTTTCACGCTTTATGCGATAATCAGACGTTACAAACAACCATAACAACCACAAAAATTATACACAAAAATGCAATAGATTGTTAGCTTAGGTTCAAGAAAAAATCCCCCCTGAAAAATATTCCACCAAAAAAAATTCCCCCGAGAAAAAATCCCCCCGGATAAAATCCCCCCGAGAAAAAATCCCCCCGGAAAAAATCTCCCCAAGAAAAAATCTCTCCAGAAAATATCTCCCCAAAAAAAAATTTTTTTTTTTTACTTAAAAATTTTCAATATATAGTTATGTTTGTTTCTTTCTTTATTTTAAATATTTAAATAAAATACTTCATTTTCATAAAAATGTCAAGTTATGTGCTATTACTCGAAGGTACCTTCGAGGAATTTTGCTTTCGCTACCTAGGTAGCGAATGCGAAACCCTAACCCTAACCCTGACGAACTGCAAATTGGTAAAATGTGAACTTTTTTGCGAAGCATCATAGTTAATTTAACAGTATATTTTAAGAACTTTTAAGCGAAAAAATTATTTAAAAAAAGAATAAAAGGAATTTAAGTGAAACTAGACGAATACAATATGAAAATATATATATACATACATATATATATATATATATATATATATATATATATATATATATATATATATATATATATATATATATATATATTTTAACTATTTGATACACTGTCAGGCTATTTGTCAGTCGGCGTAGCAGTACTCCGTTGCGAGTCAGGCTATAAGATAGTCAATGTAGTAACACTTGTTTTACAGTTAAAAAATAAAATTTTTATTTTAAATAAAGCTTTAAAATAGATACAGTTAATTCCCGATAACTCGAACCTCCAAGGAAAATGGTTCAACTTAACGGATGTTCGACTTAAGCGAAGTCTCTTTAAGTCAAACTTTGACAGAAGTGAAATAGTAGTTCGAGTTAAGGCAATTATTATTAAAAATTATTAAAAATTTATTTATTTCATGCTAAAGTATGAATATTAAATGTACACTGTTATAATAATAAAAAGTGTGAAAAAAGTTTAGTGAAAGAAGCTACGTATATCCGTTTGTATTAGATTCTCTGGTAATTCTTTTTCCACAATTAAGTTTATTTGGTTTATACATTTATGAATACACTCCCCATTTTTACTGAATATCATGTAGCTTTGAAGTAGTATATATATATATATATATATATATATATATATATATATATATATATATATATATATATATATATATATATATATATATATATATATATATATATATATATATATATATATATATATATATATATACATTTATATATATATTTATATATATATAATAATATATAAATAATTATATATATATATTGTTTATTGGCCAGTTCAGACCAAAAATTAATAAAATTGGTAAAAGAAATTTTTTCTTTGTCTAAATATCATACTTCAAAATACGAATTGAGCTTCTAGGACGAATAGTAACAATAGTAACAACATGTTAAAAAATTAGAGATATTGAAACAGGTCACTCTAAGAATTTAGTGTTTTTGGCTGATTCTTACAGAATGTTGTTCTTAAATTCATTTTGTAAACGCAAGTGTGATTGTGTAACAGTAGGTACTCATCTTTGCAATAATCAAAAGGTCTAATAACTAAATATTTATTTTTTTTATTTTAGATGCATTTTGGCTTAATTTAGTTACATTTGCTAAAGAAAATTGGTGGAACAGAGCTGGAAAAAACCAATGCAAATGTTATGTTTTAAACCTAATTAAAAGTGGCAATTGTTTTAAGTTCATTAGCTAACATTTTATTCCATAGTTTTGGCCCTCCTTAGTATATCATTTAGTTAGTTAGTTTATATTTTATTCCATAACTTTGACCCTAGTAAACATTTTATTTCACAATTTTGGTAGAAATTGAAAATTCAGTCCGCTGAAATTAACATCAATATAACTCAAATAACAAAATTTATTTAATTAAAAATATCATTTCAACTTATGACACCTATTTTACAGATAAGTTTAACAAGTTTTTTAAATGGTTTAAATTTAGTTTTTTTCGATTTAACACATTTTTAAACAAAATTAAACAATATAAATGGGCTGCACACTATTGGCTTAAAAGGCTTCATCTCTGATGCTTAAAAAATAATCCTGCATTGTTGCTTGAAATAAACCATAGATGGATAAAGTCGTCATAAAAGTTAATTAGATGCTGCGAAAACAAAAGTTGTTCGTTGTTTTTGGATCACTTCTTGTTTTATAAATTTCATATAATAAACAGCAATGCATTATAAAGGTTTAGAATCAAAGGTCTACTATTATTTCAAATTTAAAACAATTTTAATAAACAATACGTTTAATTTAAAACAATACGTTTAATTTTAAACAATACGTTTAATTAAACTAAATTTAAACGCTTTGAATGCGATTAGAAAGACTTAATGCTTTTGCTAGGTTTTTGCGATTAGAAAGACTTAATGCTTTCACTATGTTTAGTATATCAGACGTCATAACAGACGTCAAAAACTTGTTTGAAACTTGAATTTTAATGGAGGTTTAACACTATTTTGGAATTGTTACATATTTGGCAAAATCCAACATCAAAACTCTTGGATCAAACTGAGATAGTACGCTACAACCACTGCGTCACAGCTGTTACATAATAACGTTTTTCTATTCGGTTCTGACCAGGATCAACAAAACTGGGGGGCCAAGGGTCCCCACTTTTTTTCTAAAGGACTTTTTTTTTTCTTTTAGAAAATTCTAGATATAGAGAACTTTTTTTAGAAATTAACGATTGTGCGCCTACTTTAAAACCCTTGTCGTCGGCCCTGCTAACTTGACTCTGATACATTCCCTTAACTCTAGTTATTATGTTTCATGTTCTAGCATTCTAGAACACATTCTAGAACACATTATTTATGTTTCATGTTCTAACATACATTATAGAACACATTATTTACATCTTAGTATTAATACTCGTAAAGCGAAAAAAAAACATTTAATACTTTACAGAATATATTTTATATTACAGCATTACATATATATTACAATACAGCATTACATATACATTACATATATATACTACAGAATATATTCTAAATTACAGCATGCATTATTAATTTACAAATAATTTACAGTATCTAGTAAAATCTAAAAACGTAGAAAACATTACAATTACATATAACTAAATTTTAAAAAATCTTCAAAAATGGTATAACATTTATTCTTCCATTTTGATTTCAAGATTGAGCGGAGTCTGAATTTGACTTCGCGGGGCTTCTATAGCTAATTTAAAGTCTTTTGTATATCGAGAACTTAGTTGAGATGGGTCAACATCATCGGGTAGAGAGATGTTTCTGGTAAACTGTTTGTGGTGAAAACTTAAACCGTGTTCGCCACTGTTTTTCGTTTTGGTTTCACCATGAACAATTAAATCTCTACCTTTTACGTGAATCGAAATTTCTTCTGGCTTAAAACCTTTTACATCTAAAGTGCATTTAAATGTCTCTTTCGTCGATTCTCCAGAATCAGAAGTTACAGGGAGCTTTTTTGGAGCTTCTATATGTAAAACGCCATCTTGACTGATATTTGAAGTAAGTGCTGAAGAATCTACGTCATCTGGAATAGTATACTTTCTATGAAATTCACTGCACTCAAATCCATTTTCATTTTCATTATGATGTTTTCCACTTACTTCAAGAGTTTGTCCTATACAACGAAAACAAAAATTATCTACAGTTTTTAGAACTGAAAACTCGCTTAAAATTTTATTACTAAAATTTAAATTAGGGACAATAAAGATCAACGCACAAGAAGAAAAAAAACATTAAATACTTGGGCCTATAATAATGATGAGACGAAATCTAAATTAATAGAACATAAAAAAAAAATTTTTTAGCAATTGCTTTAATATTTCTTTTCTGGAAGGTTAAACTGTTTGTTGTTTAATAATTATTTTCTGGCAACATTCTCAAGCTTCACCTGATTACACCAAGACCACCAAAACCACCCAGAATAGTCACGTTTAAAAAGTTTTGAGAATATGTATTATATATATATATATATATATATATATATATATATATATATATATATATATATATATATATATATATATATATATATATATATATATATATATATATATATATATATATATATATATATAGTCTTCATATAAAGAAGAAAAAAAATTTATTTATTTAAAGTTAAATCTAAAGTTTTTAATTTTTAATTAAACTTTTTTTCTTTGGTTTACGTAAAGCCTTCTATAAATAATCAATATATATATTTTCTTTCAATTTTTAAAACGTGACAATGACGTTTTTTGCCGTGTGGTCTACATTTCTAATAACAGTTATGATAAGAGCAAACAGTCTCGTACGAAACAAAAACCATAATAATAGCAGATAGTGCGACAAATTACACAAGTAACATAGTAATTATAATACTATAAAATAGTTTAAAAGTACCTTCTACTTTTAGAGTAACTTCCTCTGGCTTGTAGTGTTTAACATTAAGATTTACAACAAATCCGTTTTCCTTGTTAGCATTCTTTCTTGTAAGAGCGTCCGTTCTAACATTAAATAATGGATAATATCTTAATGGAGGAAAGGTAATCTCCATTATATCTTCCAAGAATGGATCAGGTGAAAAGTATTTATGAACGGGAACGTGCCACAAAGACATTTTTTTACTCTCTGAATGAAAAGTAAAAAAACTTTAATAAAGTTTAACTAAAAATAAATTTAAATATTAAACTTAGGTACTTGTAACTTAAAATATTTCGTATTAAGCGCCGAATAGAGGACGCGATGCAACACTGCTCTTCCACTAATTTAAAAAACAACAACAATAGAACTATTAGCTCCACTTTGGTGTTTACAATACCTACCACAATAAAATATTCCGGCGCTTTTGATGCTAAATTTAATGAGAACATATAAACAGAGAAGCCCGCTCAATATTTTTGGTTTTAGAGTCCAGTTTTTCATCAATTTTTGATTTGTAAACTAAACTGAAAAGAAACTCAAACCTAGTGCGTACCCTTACCCTTAGCATTGCGCCCCCTAAAGAAATCCAGTTTTCATGGTTTCTGAAACAAATGATTCCAAACCAAATATGTTTATAGGTACTAATATATACAAGAAAATATCTATATTTTTTTGAATTATAAAAAAAATAGTTTACACTCAAATCCATGAAATAGTGATTAGTTCCGGAAATATGTCAAGTAAAAAAAGGAAGTAAACCCACGTTATATATTTGTTCTTACCTGGTCAGTATCTTCTTGAACACTGCTGATTTGCTTTCTTGCGTTTTATAATTGTTAACACCAAATTTGAAATTTATATCTTCTTGAAAATAATGTCAATCAGAGTTTTACTATATTAAGAAACATCTAGAAAAATTGCTAATATTCTGCGCCTTTCTAAGAATTTCTTACTCCTTTGTTGTGTCTTAAAAATTGAGCTATAAAAAAGAAAAAAAATACTAACGCAGGAGTTTAGCTCACCTGGCTAAA